GTATTTATATAGCACACATATTTGGATATTGTATGTTCGCCTGTTGCAATAAGAAGGGATAAGGGGCTTGCTGTCTCGATAGCGCAATAGATAAGGGTGCAGGGGCTGGTAAGTGCAGCGTTGAGTTCGAATCCTGTCCGGAGCAGATTGTTTTGCCCGTAGTTCAGTGCTTTTGCTATATATAGCAAATAGCAAATAGTTCAAGGAGAATTATTTAGGAAGTCAAAAATTATTGATTGATTACTTCGCTAATGAGTAGATGGAGTACTGTAGGATGAAAAAGATTTCCCTCAACTCTTACAATTGCTAAAAAAAATAAAATCAAAAATCGTTAAAAGTAAGGAATACATAGGATCATTGCAGATTCTGAAGTGCGTGGCTGATCGTTGTAATGTGCACTGTTACGATGGGGATTGTCCATCATGCAGAGCTATGGCTAAACGGATGTTCACGATCATCTGCCTACAAACGGACATGCTCAATCTATCCCATATCCAGTACACAGGTATCTCTTTCAGTACCGTTTCGATGATAATCCCAGAAGTTCAAGGTAACGCTTTCCAGGAACTTGTCCACGATTCTTCAACGATCTGGCCGATGAGTATGTGGCTGCACGAAGACGAGTTGCAGTCTGATCCGTTTCGAATTCACCTAGATCTCATATAGTTGTTGTACAAATTTGTCATACAAATTTCTATGTCAGGGTGTTGCTTATGTCTTTGAAGGTTTTCGCCAATTCCAGATCACTTATGACGGGATCCAAGCATTACATTCGATAAAAAGTTTCACGACTTCCGCTTTCATTTTTTCTCCCTTGACTGCCTTATTAGGTTCCAAGAGCTTTCCAACGAACAAAGGTTTCTGGCAACTCGTAAGTGTTTGTAATGTCAGTGAGTGAATTTCGGTGATAACGAGTGTTTCTGTTGAAAAAAATTGACAATACCGATTGTCAATACAATACCGATTCTTTAGAGACTGGCGGTGGTGACTTTGGCAAGAAGTCTTAGGTGATGCAAGGGATCAAGCAATAGACAGGGATGAGGCATAGATCTATTCCATGTCACTCCACGTCCGTTGCCCAACCCCTAGAAGAGTCTCTTTGTAGAGCTAGGGTAGTAGTAAACTATCACTCCCAACTTCGACGTATCTTCACAGATCTCAGCAGGTTCGCTATTTCCATGCAAACAAGAGGATTCTGTCATTGCTGGCCAGCTTTTCTGTTCTGAAAACACACTTTTCCTGAATAGGTCGACCAGCTTGCATTGTTCGAAGCTCATCAGCATGCACTACTGTGGTTGAATAAGGCCTATTTCGCCTGCCTCTTCTCTCTCGTTGTGATTCCTACTGCCACAACTGGTACAAGACCGACTGCCACAACTGGTACAAAACCATTGACCGTACCCGTTCGATGACACTTCGCCTGAGACGGACACAGAGCACACTCTTACAATGGGATGTCTGTGGGTTATGCCGATCCCTGTTGGACTACCACAGTGAGCCGTATAACCCGTTCAAGTTTCAACGTGGATCAAGTGTCACAGCGGATTGTGCGAGAGGCACATCCTGCCTGCGCAAGGGTGGAGGGGTGGCAAAAGTTTCGCCTATCGGTACCCCTTCACCCACTCACAGGCAGAAGTTGTCACTAGAGCAGCTCATTTGTACCACCCAACCAGTGCTGAAAGGTTGAAAGAACTGATTTTATAGAAAAGCCGTTCAGTGAAGTGCTTGCTATCCGAACAAAATTTTTGTTCTATAGTGGCCGTCAATCTGTACTGGCCATGCACATACAGACGAAGACAAGCCCCCGCCTTTGCAAACGAGAAGAATGGTCTTCTTCTAGCTCTGCTTGGTTTTATAGAACTCTAGCGCTGAGCTGCGTGAATGAAGCTTTCCATAATCCTTGACCACTGAAGATGTGGCTAGCGGTTAGGATCTGTGGCTCTCACTCGTAAGGATCGGGTTCAATCTCGGGCAGTGGAGAGCCTTTTGCATTGTTATCAGCTGATGTTGGAAGTCTAACGAATAGTTTGACATTAGAAGCACTTTTTTGACGAGTAGTGCGACCATTCCTTGGGTTTTGTCCCACTCGGCCCCTGAGTGGATCCAAGCTGCTTGATCAACCTAATGCAAACGTCGAGTGAAGCTGTGATTAATAAAGTAATAAGTACCTCTATCGAGGGCAGAACTTGGAATTCCTGTAAAGATATCAGACGTGGGAAGAAAACGATACATAATTCCACCGGTGGTAAACGGCTCATGAGGAACGAATTTGAAAGGAGCGCTTCTCTTCGGCAGGACCTGTTCGGAGTGAATTTAGTATCACTAAGCCAATCAAGGCTTGTTATCTGAATCTGAATTCTTTCATTCCGATATCCTTTCAGAATGACGAGGCTCTCTGGACGACCCCTTGGTTTTTTCCTCTTCATTCCCTCCCTACTTAACAATTGAACCTTCATTTCGGGGCCCCACTATCCACATCCTCCGATTGCGGAATGTGTCTTCATGAGAAACAGAAGAAAACCTCTTTGTGGAGATCCGGTGACCTCAGAGTTTCTTTAACTTTTTATGTCATTACTCCCTAGTTACTCTTACTCTCGAAACTTTACTCACATCCCATCAATTACTATAAATTTCTAATATTTATATCATCTACTATCTCGTAGTTCCCCAAGATTCTCCTCTTTTCACATGTTTTGAATCCAATAATTCGTTCGGGAAGATCTTAGCCTGCTTTTGTCTTGAGTTTGCTTACTCTGAATGGGAATTAACCTAATCTTTGGCACTTGTTAGTTGCTCCGGTAACTTAAGATGAATATTGCAGTACATTGTCCACTAATGTGTTGCCCAATAACCAGCACTTCTGATAGCGTCATGTATTTTCCCTTGTGCTCTCCCAAAAAGAGATTTTCCCAAAATGAACAGCTCTAAATACGATACGGCCGCCGGTAGAATGCAAAAATGGCAGCTGTTGCAGGTATTGGAGCCGAAGTGGTGTACCGCAACTTCCTCTAATTTTGGATGCATAGTGAAGGCAGGTACCTAACACCATCCGGAACATGCAACAGGCGTATCCACAACCAACTTCTAGATATAGGCTGGTGGAGGTGGATGGTCTTGTGGTGGATCGGAAGAGGTGGGTCTGCTAAGTAGCTTGGATTCAAAGGGGAACTCGAAATCAATGGAAATGGGTGAAATGGTCAAGAAGCTTATACATTTTAAAAGTCACTCAAGTTCGATAGTAGTCATACTGTTCGCTGCAGCACCGCAAACATGCGCACTACATAAGCGTGTTTTCTGTGTGACCTGTGATAGGGAGATTTTCCCGGTGTTCCCAGCGCAAAGTACGTTACATTTGGCAATGGCGAGTCGGGGAAGGTAGTTGAAATTGTGTTCGCGAGCACCTCATAGCGGCTCACGAGGATGGTAGAAGAGCATGATCGCCAGGGATCGGGTTAGTGATGTTGGGTCGAGGACGTTGGTCAACACGTGTTCGGTGACATTTGCAGCATTTCTCACATGTATCGTTGCAAATCCAGTGCATTCCGCTCCCGCTTCCACAACATGCTTTATCTCAGGCTTATTTGTGAACATAAAAGATTGGGTTGAACTTTGCGGCCCAATACAGGCAGTAGGTGAAATGACAGAACTTCTAATTCGTCTGGTGAGAAATTTCTAAGTATGTGATGTAAAATGTGCATCAATCACGATATACTGTTATTCAGGTTTTCGATTCGACAATCTAAATCTCAATTTTGCCAGACAGTTATATGTATTACACTAAAAAATGCAAAAAAACAAGCATATTTACTGCGAAATTTGCTTGAGGACGGTCCCTGCAATGTAGAAATAGTGTATCTGAGGAAATGCAAAAAGGCGTTCGGAGCTGTCATTTACCGGCCACGCCATGGAGCTATAAAATGGAGACATTTTTATGTTCACAAGATGTTGTCGAGAGCCTTCTTAGCTTCTTTTAGTGCCGTGATGGGTGAGTATCGCGTATTGCTTGACCTCCTCCATCAAAGACCACGACCAATTAAGTGATGTGAGATACGTCGCCGTTAAGCAATGTAGCGAAAAGTTCTAGACTTGAAGAGAGCCTGTGAGGGGGTTGCGTAATGGGTGAGGGATGTGGCAAGGTGGACAGCTGAAGGAAAAGTCGCTGCTTGACGGGAAGGACTGGCAAGCAAAGAATCGTTTCTATAATTTGATTTCTATGAGTCATGTAGTATTAAAAACAAATTGCTGCTTGTGATATACACGCATGTGTCAGGGTTCCTCTGCGGGGTTCACTTGAGTCGCTAAATGTGGAAGGAGTCTAATCGTTACTTTAGTTCTCATTTCTTCGGAACACAGCGACAAATCGCCCCATTTAGTTATTAGACCTACTGTAGATCACATCAATCTGTTCTTCCCCCGTCACCAGAACATTTCTCTGTCCATCTCATCTAGAGATTACCATTAGGCGGAACCAGCACGTGGTACGTAACAGACAGAACAGATGTGACGATCCGTTAGTCAAAACCTACAAGGTACAGTTGTCCATGGGCTAGGTTTTGGTGCCAGAATGACCGGGTGACCAGTACTACATGAGATGGCCTAGGGTGGTCACATGTTGTGAGCGGAGTGTTGAAGCGGGAGGCTCAAGCTTTTCTAGTTTTGGAAGGTTAAGCGGTCTAAGCTAGTTCCGCGGCTTTTTGGTAGAGCAAAAAAAAAGAAATCTTCAAAAACAATAGGCATCAGTCAGGCCTGAAACTCATCTCTTCCTACGGCAGAGTTGCTATCCACTCATCAAATACCAAAAGCACGAGCCACCCCTGCAAAATAGGGTAACAAACTCTGCATAATGTGTAGTTTCCGGAACATAACGGGCATAACGGGTTCCTTACACCAGTCAATTATTTGAGCATTCCAGGACTCCCCACTTACGATCTCCTTAGCGAATCATAACGCTTCGTTCTTAAAACTCCATCATGTTACAGTGTTAATGCCATAGGATCGTACGAAGTTTCGGAAAGTTAAAATCAGCAACTTGCAGCCCCCACCTACACTAACAATAAATAAATAATGCCATTTTCCTTTCAAAATAGGAAAAAATCAAAAGGCATACTCTTTGAATTCTTGGGGGACCTCGGAGTTCTCCTTCCTCAGTAGGTAGTATTCCACTGCTGGCAATTGGGGCAACTGGCAACCCAGCGGTCCCGTTACCATCTGTGCCAAAGAATACTGCCTATTCGAAGGAAGGAGAAATTCCTGAGACTCTAAGGCACTACGCGGAAGTTTGTCAGACTGATCAAATTGGGAGTAGTTCTTCTACTGCAGTTAGGTGTCGTTTGGATTTTTGTTGCATGAGTTTAGTTTATATTTGTTGTGTTTTGTTTGTTTGTTTTTCTCTTGTCTATCGCAGGTGATTCTGTGTAACAAACAAATAACCAAATAACAAAAATAAGGCACTCTAGAAATTAAAAGAGTAGGCCTTTGGATTTTAACCTATTTTGAACGAAAATGGCATATTTATTATTAGACTAGGTGGGGGCGCAAGCTGCTAATCTTCAACTTCCCGAAACCTTTAAGGGATCTTTAGACATGAACAGTGAACATATATGATGGAGTTTTAAGCTTGGAGCGTTATGATTCGCTAAGGAGATCGTGAGTGGGGAGTGTTCTGGAATCTACACTTTATGCAGAGCTTGCCAACCTATTTTTCAGGTGTGGCTTAGCTTGAATGCGCTCTCATACGAGGACTCAAGCCAAAAGTTTTTTGCGTAATGTTGCGGATCCGAACCCATCAGTTCTCAAGTATGAAACCGGACTCTTATCCGCTACACCGTAAGGCCACAGCGTTCACTATTGACCTACGGCTATGTGACCAGTCTGCCAATCAGTTCAAAGCCAGCTGAAGTTCACTTCGGCTTCCCCGAGCTGAACGATGGGCCGGCAGGCAATGGAGGGAGTGGGGGCTGGGATAGTTTGAGGAGTTGAAGGTGCCTTTTGGTACTCGATGAGTAAACAGCAACTATGTCGTAAGAGCAAATGAATCCTGAGCCCGACTGATGTCTGTTGTTCTTGAAAATTTCTTTTACTTTTTGCTTCACCAAGAAGCCGCAGAAATATAATAGCTCAAAAGTGTGCATGGCAAAAGTTCTACGTAAGATAGACAGGAGTGCTCAGAAAATGACCCCTTGATCACGCAAACATTAGCCCGGTCTTTTAGCGCTGTACTTTTTTGTCACGTTTATGGCATGACCATTACTGGCAGTACGGCTCCAAAACGCCATTCGATCACTAACAACGACACTTTTTTTTCTATTTGCTTTCTTTGAATGGATTTGTGGCAGCTGTTCTGTAAATGTGCTTGCTCAAGGGTCTTCTAATATAAGGTCAGCGCATGTTATACCAAAACTTAACATTCCCTTCTGAACCCTTGACTACTGACCAGTGACGTCGGTGCAACAGTTCGGTTCCGTCTGATCGTAGCCCACTCGATGGGGGACGGATGCTTTGGCTCAATCAGGTCAAGACCCCACACTTCCAGAAAAGGGAAGTCTGAAGAAGCCAGAGACACTTTCGCTAGTGGCTGAGTGAAAACGCGCGGGGCGTCGGCTCACCAGCAAAGTCCACTAATATAGAGTGAGCCTTCATTAAAGATTAGCACCGTATCTGTCGCTAGTTGTACCGGTAAATGTCATTGAGTGAGAGGGGACAGGCTGGAAAACATTGCTTCAGGAAGGCGGGAGAAACAAGGGGGGGGGGTGGCGAGGTGTGGGGCGCCATATATTGATGACACTGATCATTGGAAGGCAGATCAGTTCAGCAGCAGGCAGATCAGCAAGGCAGAGTCACCTCTCACTGCGTACCCCACACCCCACCTACTGACAGTGTCTACCTCTGTGCCCTCCCATAGGGAGATTTTCTTCGGCCAAACAGCATGGTATGCGGCACATCGGTGGGTAACCTCAGTTGGGGGTCTCGTTCACCTTCGGGGTCTTTAAAAACTAGCAGCTCTCGGTAGCTGGACATCACTTTTGCTATGTGATGTAGTAAATACTTGGGAGCTTCTGGGTGATTCTGCATCACAGGAGTTTCCACGATCCATGTTCCACCTGTACTTCATGTTTGTCCCACTGTCTGGCTGTCAAGAAGGATTCAAGCTGATGTCTCACTGCTAACATTTGAAAAGATTCCTTCCAGCGACGACTCCCTAGATGCCAAAAATGGCAACTGGAGATGCTTCTACGTCTAAGACCAGCGCGATCAAGTCCTTTTTCCTGATGTTCCTGACGGAAGTGATGTTCCACTGTTCCATCTCTCAATATTCCAGTCGTTACATTGAGGGATTGCGGGCACCGATATTCAAGGTCATCGAATTCGTCCTTAGAAGCTGTATCGAACCAAAAACTAGCATTCAATATTCAAAATATTTATCAAATTTTATCCTGATAAACATAGTAAATAATGCTTTCAATGGGACCCGAATGGATCACATTTTTTTGAGTTGCGATGACCAGTAAATGAGATAAGTTTCCCAGCTAACTAACATCAGTTAATAAACACTGATAATCACAATTGAACAATTAAGCTCATTTTGGAGAAAATAGACAATTAAAAGAGGAATTATAAGGTTAGATGATGATATACAGAACGGAATAATCACATCACAAACGGATCACACATAATACTGACCCATTTTCCTTTAAGGAAAATTCTACACAGAAGAAAGTGATTAACAGACATTCTGAGCAGTACTGTACCTGTTTGGATATGTTGTTTGGACGTTGTTTTCTGGATAAGTCACACCGAAAACTCGCCCTTCCAACTTATACCCATCAGGTAAATTGAATTTATTTGGTAAATCTTCGAAGCGAATAAGTTTCTTCGGATTTTCATGAAGTTGTGCCATTTCTGCCAAATCGTCGTTGCTGAGCGAAAAGTCGAATACCTGCAATAAAAGAATTGGAACTCGAAAACCGTGAAATTCTCATTACCTTTTGTCTTCGAAATTGAGTATATAATTGAAAAAATAGAAAAACTATCTAAAAAAGCATATGTAGTACAAAATATCGCTACTATAGGTAACGTGCTCGCGCCTGTCTGTTCGCCTGTTAGACTGTGTTCTGTCTACCACGAGATTCGATATTACTCAAAAAAGGATCAAGAGAAGTTTATGATGGGTTCAGCACGGGCAAGAACAACAAGGCACACGTGAGCTCATCAGAGCTCGGACCACACGGAGTGGAACACACACCGGTATTGGGTAGCTCCATAAACAAAACTACCCGAGCTGGTTTGTGACAGCCCAGACGCCCTGAAAATCTGAGCAAAGATGAGCAATGGGTTAACAAATGGGGTGAAGGAGACCCACCCGCGGTGGGCGGGGCGTTCTCACAGCTAATAGCGCTTATACGAATTCATAATTTGATTCAACGAAAGCGCCGATTTATGTATAAAATATGGAAAGTGTATAAAGGCCGCCAAAGGGAAGACGGTTAAACCATCATGGTGGGCTGAACCAGGGACGAATAATTGTCAATTTCAAAAAGGTTCGTACTGCTCCGAGGCGGTTCTACATATGAAGTCACCATCGTTACTTCCAACCTATAGAGTCATCATCGTTGCTTACTATATGTGAAGAAATACGTTTTTGTCCGTCTTTCTATCAGTCACAATATTCGATATCATACTAAAAAGCACCCTAAGAGAACCGGTAGAGTCTAGGATGGGTATGGTCTTGTGCAAAATTAATAGAGCACGCACGTATACGCTCAGGGAATCCCTCACTCACAGGAGGCGGAACATGCACCGAAGTTGACCATCAACTTGGAATAACTTCTGTTTTCATAATAACTAAATAGTACGTCGGTAAGGAATGAGTCAACAACTTAGACGAAGGGGAATCAACAGCGGTGGGCGGAGCATTCTAGAAGTGGGCGATGCTTCATAAATGAACTTATAACCCACTGCAGCCAAAAACCAGATTCTTGAGAGATGGATCAAATGTTTATGAGTGCGTTTTGATACGTTCCTTGTTGTGATGCACGATTACTGTGCGGCACAACTGGTAATTTAGATTTACTTTTATTTTTAAACTAGGCAAATGCTGTAGGCATTGGCTCATGCTGATTTTTGATAATAAAAATCTTATGTTTTGTCGAACTGAACCTACATTTCTATTTTCTGCAATCCGGCTTTTTTCCTTGCTCTTTGGAATCACGGGAACACCATGCTCTAGTGACCATCTAAGGCAGATTTGAGCCGGTGTTTTGTTGTATTTTGAGCTAAGCTTGAGTAGTACATCCGAATCGAGGAATTTACCCTTGGCTATTGGACAATAACCCTGAAATCAAACAGTTTCAAATCAAAAGGCACACCTATTAGAAGCAAGTTTTTTTTTGGTTCTGAGATCTGGCCAAGTTCTTGATGAAAGTGATGTGGTGCGCCACAGTCTTCGACAGGCGCAGAGGTGTCTTAGGATCTAAGGGTGATCGTCAGTTTCAAAAGAAACTTTTAAAGCTTTCCTACTAGTGACGCAATGGCAGCAACAGCTGTTTATGCGGCTCCTTCTTAGCTTCCAGCACAATATAAAACGAAACTTTTTGCAGCAGCATCGGTTGTGATGCAGAGAAAATCTTCAAAGAACCAACTGTTCCACCTTACTCTTGCGGTTGTTCCCGGTTGCCTGCTTCCAAGTGAGTTCAAGCATATCAGCGCTCAGTTGAATACTATAACATTAGCAGTGGAAGCAAGAACTTAAAAAAGCAGCATCGGTTGTGATGCAGAGAAAATCTTCAAAGAACCAACTGTTCCACCTCACTCTTGCGGTTGTTCCCGGTTGCCTGCTTCCAAGTGAGTTCAAGCATATTAGCGCTCAGTTGAATACTATAACATTAGCAGTGGAAGCAAGAACTTAAAAAGGAGCAGCTGCATTCCCAGAGAATGCCTTGGGACTTCGTTGAACATGTGATGCTGTCTAGACTTTNTTGAGCTCGCGATAGAATCGTCTCACGATGAAGAAGGGTAGTTTTTTGTTGTTTTTCAGATCGGATTCTCTTTTATCTGATGAGCTGAGGGCATCACAGCTTATACAGAAGAGAAGAGCTTATAATAGGAAAGGAGTGCGAGAGGTAAGATATTAGTTCAGACAGATGGGAGAAGAAGGCAAAACCTCTCCAAATTGGCTCCGATCGAAGTCGCCCAAAAAAAGCCAATGTTAGCCAACGAGCGAAGGAGACTTCATTTCCAAAAGGATTTATAAAGAAATGGTTCGTCAGGAATGTTCGACCAAGTTATGCAGTGGGCCATCTTGACTTAGGCGAACTCCACTACATCCGATTTGTTCTAACTCGTGCAGCTTACAGCCGACTTCTTCATGACCACGCTAACGTCGTTTGTGTCAAAAAAAAGAACTTGAAAGTAAGAATATATGGCGTAAGCAAATCTCAGGAATGGACAAACACGCTGGGCCTTTAGATTCAAAGTCGTAGGGCTGCGGATTTGCTGGTTCAAAGTGGTTTCTTTGCCATATACCACTATCCTACGGTAAACAGAAAAATTGAAGGGTTGTTTGAGCCAAATGGTACACGGGAAAGATACCACCGGCCAAGATGAGCACCACTTTTCAACCCGGGATGTGCGCTTGAATACATTGAAATTAACTCCAGTTGCAGTGTAGCCTACCCCCTGAGGTTCGGATTTTGAGAGAGGCAGAAGGCCAGTAAAACACAGAAGTCGTAGATAACGTTAACGACAAAATAGATGAAATGGCTGCAGAAATTCAGCAGAACAAGGACACATAGCGAGTAACCCTGAAAGTCACTGACCGCGTACAAAATGTCGTTCTCTTCGCAGAAGGACCGCAATTGAACGGGATTGAACCACGGATGGAATTCGGACTGGTTAACGTGCGGCTTGATGCTACAGTATTCGAACATCTCGGACAGATCGTCTTCAGAATAGTTGCTCACACCGATGGCACGAATCCGTTCTGAAAAGGGAACGTCAATGAAGGGATCCATTCTGAAGTCTGACGTTCCAAATGGAATTCAATGCAAAGCTCACCTTGATCGTAAAGCAGCTCTAATTGTCGCCACGTCTCCTCATGAACTTCACGACGATTCCCGAGCCATTCAGGGATCACGGGGAAATGCGTCATGAACAAATCTAAAAACATTTATTTGATTCATTGCAGAGAGCTCGGCATCACTTCACATACCTAGGTAATCCGTTTGAAGCTTTTCACAGGATAGCTCAAACGCTTCCCTTGTTCCTGGGCCAAAATTGACCGGCCATAATTTCGAACAGAGGAAGAGGTCCGAGCGAGGTACTCCGGATTCCTAGAATATTTCGAAGCTGCAAGTACTCTAAAAGTGGACGAGAAAATGTGAAAGGTTGTCTACCTTCCAGGCGAATCCAAGTTCCCGTTCGACACCATACCGCCTCGCAGTGTCGATCATTCGGTATCCACAGTTGCGTAGCGCATGGATCACGACATCGTGGTAATATCCGCCGGAATGAGTTGTCCCTGAAGAAGACTCTTTAGTGGAAACTTCACCAGGTCCTCCTAAATACTGTAGTCAAGTCCAACAACGCTGAGGAGTCTACTATCCATAAAGAAGAAATCAAGCGGCTTTTGATTTTGCCTAATTTCAAGCGACTGATCGGGCAAGAACGAAAGCAGAGTTGGATCCTTCCTAATGGCCTTGCATTCGCTTTCTCCAAAACATCACACTGCTCTTTAAGTAATTCTCGATCTCCCAAACAGGAGTACTCCATTATCAGGTAAAGATGCTTTAGCTACTCATGACACCTTGAGTTGAGTTCTAGGTACATCGATAGAGTTTGGAAGGCTGCTTATGTATAAAGGATAAAGGATAAAGTATTGGGGCTCAGTTAATCGCGTCAGAGGGATGTGCCCACACATTCGACTATCTCTCAGAATCGTAGTGGCGTCTTGGGTGCATACATTGCCTATACAGCGACTTGCGGCGGCCTTGTACAAGTTAGGATGTTTAACCTCGCAGAAAAGTCCTGTACCAATTAACCGACCCAGGAAGGATGGAAGGCTTCGTTTGCCTTATTTATGAATATGGAAATTAAATTTGCAAGAAATTTCGCTGACAATTATCAGCTGCCAGAGTTTGTCTGAAGCAAACGATGCCATAGGCCCAATGAACCGACTGGTAGTCAAAATCTTCGTGACTTAGCAATGCTTAACTCTTTTTTCAGGCACAGGCAAAGGATGATGGACGACAAGCGAATCTACACCTCCGGCTTGAAGAGCGAGATCTTTACCAGGACACTACACCGATGCAGGCTGCTAAAGAGAAGCTCTTTTTTGTTTAGCGTTTTGGATCCCTGTCCTATACTCTCTTCAATGTCTAGCCAGAATTCGATAAATCTCCCGACTGAGTACTTCGGCGGGTATTTTCGTTATCAATCCTCCGCCTGGAACATATGCAAAGTCCAAAGGCTCATCAACATGTCATCCACGTGACTGGGCGATTGCTTCTGACGCATGACCATACATCCAAAACCACAGATCAGATCGCTATCTCTGCTGGCGCACATTCCATCTTTAAGACCATTTACGTATGAATTTCGCTCAGCATTGTCTTATTCACGTGTAGGTTCCTTGTTACACAAAAGTCGAAAAATCAAAAGCCAAAGTCATCGAACAGCAGATAACAAAGACCAAAAGTCAAAGAAGTAACAGATGATGTAGGTCGTTGCGCCATTCAACCGCTTCCCAGCCAAAATCGTAGAGACTCTTTGATTCAATGGATTTGTTTACTGTTGTTATTCCGCTGCCGATGGAGTAGGATTAGTAACAAGGATGGCGAGTTATGGCAAAACTTCCGGCCTCGGACAGAATTCGAACACGCACCTGGCTTTCCGAGTACCGTGCACTTTATATCATATACAAAGTCCAATGATTACTCTGTATCAGGTCTGTACCACTCATTTCAAACACTGCCAGAGTTTTTTTTTTGCACTCTTATCAGGACAGAAACTAATCCTTCTCGTTATCAGGGGGGAATGCGTCGTTTTCTCTGCTTAATCTTCGCGAGACTCCTAAAATCCTTATGACAACCCTTCCACTTTGAAGTTTTTGAAAAACCGTATTCATCCTGATGGGCACAGGAATCGGTAATGGCTGGGGTTTGAGTCATGGAAAAGGAACTCTTTGGCCTTGTATGGCGCAATACTGCCTGAGTGGCAGCTTAGGTCAATCGTATTTTACGTAATCATTTTTTCCGGGTGATATGGCATCTGCAGATCCCTGAAACTAAATCAAAGGAGTGGTAGATCTGCTCAGATGACACTTTCGCTGTCCCTCCATGAATTCTACCATAACCAAACTGCGACTTTTCTTTGCCTCGGACAACAAAGTTTGCCGAGTTCCTAATTGTTGTTGGACCTACACATCAACCTTTTTGTCTCCATTAGTAAACGTGAATGAGCGACAAAGGTGCTCGAAGCCACAAACTCAAAAACTACCCGTCCAAGCTCTTTCGATCCTCTGCAACCTGCGGGGCGCAAACCTTTGAGGACGAATCTCATTTGTGAAACTCCTTATAAGGATCAGAGTTCTGTGGATTGCTCCGAAACGCCTATTCATGTCTTTGCTAGTTAGGCTCGCACAAGCGAAAAATTCCCAACAGATCCTCATAGTGCAGTATACATCCACAGAAAGAGGAGCATGTTTTGACAAATAAGTCACACCAAAAATCAGATGACACCCGTTTGTCCCGAGATTTGGCTGATTCAAACATTCCAGCCTTATCATCACCATCTCCCACATTCTATTTGCAGCGATTTTGTGCACGTGCGTGATCTTCAAACTTACAAGTGTCCGGGATTGTAAACAAATCAGCACCCACGTGAACAATACCCGTTCCAAACTAGCACACAACAAGGAGGAATGTCAATGATGCAGGCGGTGGTCACAAGGAAATACTACTACTAGCGGAACGCTGGTTTGATCAAATCGCTTTTTTCGTTAGCGATTTCCCCAGTTTATGCCCGAGGAATCAAAATTCCTGACCTTGCGAAAAA